AAAAAAGAAAGAAAGAAGAAAAGAAGAGACAGCAGTGATGTGTATACACAGAGGAAAGACCATGTGAGGACAAAGAAGTGAGCAGGAGCCCCCTGCAAGCCCAGGAGACAAGCCTTAGGAGAAAAGCCCCGCCAACACCTTGATCTTGGACTTCCAGCCTCAGGAAATGTGAGAAAGTAAATTTCCATCTTTTAAGCTGCCCAGTCTGTGGTTCTTTGTTATGGTAACCTTAACAAACAGATACACCTGCCCACACCTTGATTTCAGCCCGGCAATACTGATTTCAGACCTCTGGGCTTCAGAACTGCAAGAAAATACATCTCTGTTGTTTGAAGCTCCCCCGCCCGCCCCAGTTTGTGGTATTTGTTGCAGCAGCCCCAGAAAGCTAGTACAGGTGGTAGATAGTCCCTATCTCAGAGGCTTCTTTGAAAGATGGAGGGAGGTCACAGGTAGACTTGCTTGGCTTTGTGTGAGTACCCTCTACATTTTCATGGCATCTGAATTCTCCTCTCATGGGAATTTTTCTATATGTTTATTTTTCTGCCCAAGTAGAAGCCAAAAAAAAAAAAAAAAAGACACACATGCTATGGTGGCATTTTGGGTCATCTTCTCTCCTTTCCTTTTTGGTGCCTGTTTCCTGCCTGAATGTTCCAGCTTCCTTCAGTGGGCTCCATCTACCAAGGCTCCAGGTCAGCTAACAGTGAATCATTGACATATCTGCCTCATCACTTAACAGTAACACAATAGCTAACGCTTATGGAATACTGATTCTGTGCCATGCCTCATGCTAAGTGCTTTCCCTAAATTAGTTCACTTAATCCTCTGAGCATCCCTTTAAGATGGACTGCTATTATTCCAATTTACACAGAGGGAAATTGAGTCACAGAGAGGTTAAAGAGTTTGCCCAAAGAAGTGACAGACCTGGAGGACAAACTCAGGTTGTTGGTACCCAAATCTACACCCTTAACCCACTCTGACACCTTAGGAGGGGAGGGATCCATCTCATCTTAGTTAACTTTAACTCTCCACTGTGTGCTTGGAGCACAGTTTGGACTCAGTGAAGGCTTGATGGATGGATGGATGGATGGATGAATGAGTAAATGGCACTTCACACAGACCAAAGGAAAGGCAAGAAGATGCTCTTCAGGGCTCTGCTCTGTCCAGCTTCTCTTTAGCTTGACTCTGCTGCTATTGCTACCATGACAGTCCCAATCTACCCACCATCCTGCATGGCCTATACTCACACCACATCCTCTCTGTTCTCTGCTTCTTTTACTCTGGAGCAGGGAGAACCTGAGTTGAGCAGCAGCACCTGCAATCCCTCACCCTCCATCCACTCACCAATGGCCTCATGGCTCCTTGTGAATGGAAGACACTGGAATTCTTAGGAGCCTAGTGAGGGAAGTCCAGATCCAACGAGATTATGGAAATTGTGAGGGGCTGTGGACACACCAGACATTATTGCTATCCCAATTTACAGAAGAGGACTTAGGTCCTCCTTTAACATCTCTAGACTTAGGTCTAGAGATATTAAAATACTTGCCAAAAGCCACAGAGAACTTGATGTCAGAAACATTTTTAAAAGAATGTAAAGTTAGCATAACTAGAATCTGGGGGGGAAAAATGCAACAAACTATTTCTTACTTGTCCAGAATAAACTAAGGGCTGATATAGTTAATGCAGAAGGAAGGAAGGAAGGAGGGAGGGAGGGAGGGAGGGAAGGAAAGAAGGAAGGAAGGAAGGAAGGAAGGAAGGAAGGAAGGAAGGAAGGAAGGAAGGAAAACAAAACTTGATGCTATGCTTGATTCCCAATCAAGTGCCCTTTTCAGCATACCAAGTCAATAAGAAAGCAATCCAATCTAGAAGAGAGAAGATGGGACTTCAGAGCCTGGTTCCAATTCTTACCAGTTGTGTGTTGTTAGGCAAATTATGTAAATTCCCTGAGCCTCAGTCCCTTGGTCCATGCAATACAAGAAGACTATCTACCCACCACCTGGCCGGGCTGTCCATCACTGAGAGACTTCTGGGAGAGAGGTTTTGATTTCAGAACTACATATGTGAGAAATTGACAAGTTTCAATCTTGTCTGCTCACTGTACCTGCCAGTCTGAGCCCTTTGGGGGAAGAGGGTAGTTTCCTATCAGTGACAAGAAAGGGTCCCGAAAACCTTGGCTCTACATCAGTGACAGCTGCATCTGTCTCCAGATCAGAACTGGAAAAATGATGAAAAATTAGCGGCTAATTGGAACGCCTCCCTCTCTGAGTAATACCCTATAACATCACTTTGTAGTCAAGAAAATATTTACCTGGCAATTATATTTTAACATAGTCAGCTGTCCCTCCTTTGTGATGAATGCCTAATCACTATGGAAAATAATCTCTTCTCTAAACTGTATACTTCATGACTTAACCCCTGCCAAAAATGTATTCCCATGTCCCTTTTCTTCTTTAGAGTTTAAAATACACTTGCATAGAGGGAAACAGTCAGTTGTTTGTTTGTTTGTTTGAGACAGGATCTCGCTGTGTCACTCAGGCTGGAGTGCAGTGGCACAATCTCAGCTCACTGCAACATCAACCTCCTGGACTCAAGCTGTCCTCCGACCTCAGCCTCCTGAGTAGCTGGGACCACAGGCATGTACCACCATGCCTGGATAATTTTTGTAATTTTTGTAGAAATGGGGTTTCACCATATTGCCAAGGCTGATCTCAAACTCCTAAGCTCAGGGAATCCACCCGCCCCGGCCTCCCAAAATGTTGGGATTGCAGGCGTGAGCCCCTGCACCCAGCCCAAGCAATGATTTAAATAGAGATCTGCAACCACGTTTTCACTGAACATAAATCAGGCCAGCCCCAGTGTCATAATTGCAAGCTCCTAGAGCAAGTTTCTCAACAGAGGCACTAGTGACATTTTGGGCTAGGTCATTCTTCATTTTGGGGGCTGTCCCGTGCATTGTAGGATGTTTAGCAGCATCATTGACCTCTACCCACTGGATGCCTGTAGTACCTCTCCTCCAAGTCATGACAATAAAAAGTGCTGCAGACATTGACAAATGTCCCTGAAGATGTGGGGTGGGGGTGGGGAGAAAAAATCACCCCCAATAGTAAACTAGTCTCCTAGAGGGAAAGCCTGGGCCTGGGGGCTTCTCTTTGCTCTGCCTCACCCGAAATTAAGTACTTTATAGAAATGCTTGTATGGCATTGCAGCGAATTAAATATAGGAGTAAAGGTTGGGTGAGCATGGAGGAAAATATACTATTATATGCCTCAAATACACAAAATGTACACATCTGAAAAGACTGTTTGCAAAGCTAGTTTCTGGAACACGATGCACAGTGAGTTTTTCCTGGGATTTCAATATTTAGTTAGGCGTGTATGGCGACACTGCAAACTAGATCAGCTGCGACTGTTTGTGACTTAACGTGCTCTTCTTTAAAATGGCTGCTCTCCCAGACACGTCCTCCTCCGATGTTGTTTGCTGTTATTCCATTTTGCTGCAAAAGGAAAAAGAGTTTCCACTGTAGAAATTCCTCACCAACTTGTTAAAATGTACGAAGAATGTTTTGAGTCTACGGCATGTATAAAAATGGTATGGGAAGCTTGGGGAAGGGTGGGAAGAAGCCAGGCTTGCTTAGGGCAGAAGGTGGCTCTTCGCATTTGACTGAGCTGGTGCTGGAAGCCACATCTAGCAGCATGATGTGCTTGAATCTCCCGGCAGTAGAGAGAGAGCTAATTATTGCTTGGAATAACTGGCGTGGTGGGAAGAGGCTTGGATTGGAAGTCAAGAGTCCTGGGTTCCGGTCCTGGTCCCTTTTGGCTCCAACATTCTAATATCTAACAACTGCCTCATGTGATATGTTGTGACAATAATGGCCACTGATGAATCGTGCTTCCCCTGTGCCCTCCTCTCTTCACTCTCTCAGTTTACAGGGGCATGTACTGAGAGATGGAATCTATTTTTCCATCCCTTGGACATGGGTTGCCCTTGTGACTGGCTTTGATCAATAGAATATGGCGGAAATGTCACTGTGTGAATCTCTGAGCTAGTCTTTAAGGGACCTTGCATTGCAGGTGTTACTTTCACTCTTTTGGGACACTGCCATTGCCATGTTTAGAGGCAAGGTCTAGCCTCCTTCAGGATAAAGGAGACAGAGGCCCAGCCGGCTGCACAAACCCGCCTGCTGCATGCAGCTGGACAGGGAGCCCCATGAGGTCAACAGAAGACCTGTCCAGTAAACCCACAGAACTGAGAAAACTAATGTGCTCATTTGATGCTGTTAAGTTTTGAAGTGGGTTGTTACACAGAATAGATGAGCAGCTTGTTGAAAGATCGTTTTTAAGAAACACCTTATAAACAACCTCCTGCATGTTCTCCACATCCCAGCAAAACTCCCTCCTTTCCCCTACTGTTAATTCTTTTTCTTTCAAACTAGAACAAACGTTCAGCCTTTTTTCTCTTTTTTTTCTATCCAAGGGGAAATGTCTACATTCATTTGCTCTCTTCTGTCCTTGGGGCTGGGACCTGTGGGGATACAATAAAGGCATGAGCAAAGTCACCTTCAGCCTCTAGTGTGTGTGTGTTGGGGTGTGTCTCCTGATAAAAACAGAACTTTCATCTCAGGAAAAATTTCAGTTTGTCTAGGCTGCTAAGGAAGATGTCTTCAAGAAGGAGAATGCCTTTCTTGACCGCATGGTCAATAACAAAAAAATGACCAGGCATGGTGAGTCATGCCTGCAATGCAGCTATTTGGGAGGGTGAAGTGGGAGGATCATTTGAACTCACTTGAGCCCAGAGGTTGAGGCTGCAGTAAGCCATAGTTGTGCCACTGCACTCCAGCCTGAGTAATAGAGTAAGACCCTGTCAGAAAGAAGACAAAGAAAGAAGAAAGCAAGCAAGCAAGCAAGCAAGAAAGAAAGAGAAAGAAGAAAGCAAGCAAGCAAGAAAGAAAAAGAAGAAAAAAAAAGAAAGAAAGAAAGAGAAAGAAGAAAGCAAGCAAGCAAGAAAGGGAAAGAAGAAAGAAAGAAAGAGAAAGAAGAAAGAAAAAAAGACAAAGAAAAAGAAAGAAAAGAAATAAAGAAAACTGTAGATACTGAATAGTGACATGTGTGATCTGCTTGTTGCTAAGATATCAATTGTACCTTGGTCTTTTTCTGCTTCCCTTCTTTTCCTTCTCTGTTTTATCCTTAATCTCTATTCTATGAGGTTTAGAATGTAGTTATTCTAGCACTCTCTATTTCCTAAGAACCCACAAAAGGAAACAGAATAGAGTCCATGAAGACTTTCTGAGGAGTTCACCTACTGACGGTCCATCTCCAGTCCACTGAAGGTAAGAGGGCCTGTATGAATGACCTTGGTTTGTCTTGATATGACCTTGATATGTTCCTGATTGTATTACTTTTTTTTCCATAGCACATAAAACATCCTACTGCAGAAATCAGAGAAAGCAAGATTATCTTATGAGAAACACAATCTCTCCTCTTAAAGATGAAAGGACTGCACCTTGAGAGGCCCTTCCTGTTGAGTTGTCATCTGAACAAATCAGAGTGGTGGTTGAGGACACCAGATGTGTTATTTCCTACCACAGAAAATTGGAGGGCTCACACGGTTCCACTGCAATTGAATTTGTTGATTATCTTTGCAAGAGGGAGAAGCTTAGCATCAGTGAAGACATTGGTATTTGGTAGGTATTCATTTAATCTCTGATCAATCTTATATAATAAGTTATATTATTCTCTCCCTTGGGGCTGCATTTTGCAGTTTTTTTTCATAAAGGCAATTCAAACAGGGTAGAGTCCTGAAAAAAGAAAGTCAGACTTGTAAGAAATAGCACTATAGAAACCATAATAAAATTTTTTCTCGGCTGGGCATGGTGACTCATGCCTTTAATCCCAGCACTTTGGGAGGCTGAGGTGGGAGGATCACGAGGTCAGGAGTTCAAGACCATCCTGGCTAACGTGGTGAAACCCCATCTCTACTAAAAATACAAAAATCAGCTGGGCGTGGTGGCATGCACCTGTACTCCCAGCTACTCGGGAGGCTGAGGCAGGAGAATCGCTTGAACCCAGGCAGTGGAGGTCGCAGTGAGCCGAGATCGCGCCAGTGCACTCCAGCCTGGGGGACAGAGTGAGACTCTACCTCAAAAAAAAAAAAAAAAAAAAGTTCTCAAGAGTGAACTCAGGTGATAACAGATAATAGCTGGTCTAATAAATTTTCAGATTAAAGTAGTTTTAATTTAATATCATGTGGAATTGAACATGGTAGTTTCGATCTACCAACAATACAAGAGTTACAACAGTTTCCAACATTGAATGTGCGTGTGTGTGTGTGTCACTCTGTTGACATCCCAGTGTGTTCCTCCTTATGCCAGTGCATGCCAGCTATATGTCTGGGCAAGAGGAAGGGCTGGCTCTGAAACTTTCCCAGTATGATAACGCTGCTCTTTGGCAGAGGCCGCCCACTCTCTTTTGCTACAGAGAGCACACAACCCTTCTTTTGCCCTGTGTAATCTATTAGCACCACCAGTATTAGCTAGACAGTGTTTCTAGCCAACGAGGAGCTAATGTGTGATGAGTGCTTATTCCCACCTCCTGACACCACATATGCACACTCACACATGCCCAATCTTCTCTGAGCCCCATTTTGGACATGTGGGGATGTTTGTTACTTATCCAAGTTGAGATGTTGAATAGGAAGTAGGATTTGCAAGTCAGGAATTCTGGGTAGAGGACAGATCTAGGGGTAAAAATGGATGAGTCATCAGCATATTGAGGCTCTACAGAATGTGCAGTGCAACTACACAGCTTGGTGAAGTGTTCAGAGGATTCGAGGCTCTGGAGTTGGCTCTGCCACCATGAAACTGGTTACCATAAATGTGATTCTTCCCTATGTGAGCCTATGTCTTCCCATTGGTAGAATAAAGGGATGGGAGAATGGCATTTCTAAGGTTCCTTCCAGCTAAAACATGTTTGTGACTTTAGGATTCTAATTGCTAAAGTGTCCTCTACCCTCAAAGAACTCACTATCCCCTGGGTTGAGCAGGCCACAAGCCAATCAGTCGTAGGAGCAATGGGGCAACACAGCAGGAGCCTGCCACACTAGTCGCCCGGCAGTGGGAACGACCATCCTGCACTGGAGTCGCCAGGAAATGGTGTGGATTGGAGGCCACCAGATCCACAGAGACTTTTAGCTGGGTCTCATTCTCAGTCCTTTGTGGTGCTGTTTGCTGCCTTGCAATTCTAATAATCTGTAGGTCTAGTCAAAATTTCACCCTGTCTCTAGGACTTGGTGCTTTGATCTGTAAAAAGAAGAGATTGAGCCAGATGATTTCTGTTTCCATAGAAGAGTCTAGCCCAAATATTTTGAGTCTGTGGTTGCCTGCAGACTACCAAGAACCTTAAAACTGGTTTCATGATTTTGGGTATTCTGGAAGTTTCAGTAGTTTTCAAGAAAGTTAGAGGTTCTGGGATCTGGGTCATTTTTCTTCTGAGCTACCATCCTATCTATCTTTGGATGGAACCTACACCGTTGTCTTTCCACCAGGTAAACCTCCAGATACACAAACACTGCAGAGGCTGCGGGTCAGAGAGCAAGAGCTAATTGCTACACTGAGGTCTGAGCGTAAGGGCTGACTTGGGTCCCTAACGGGAGCTATCAAACCCTTTGGCCATCAAAAAAATATATACCTACTTGATAAGAAACTGAACCTGAATAACATTAATAATAATAATAATAATAGTAACTATTCCTTGAATGCTTACAATATGCCAGATACAATGCTAAGCACCCAATAAGAATCTCATTTAATATTTGCAACCTTCTGAGGTTGGTATTATTATTTCCATAATACAGATGGCAAAGTAAAGTTTAAAGGCTTAAGTAATTTGCCCTAAGCCCCTCAACCAATAAGTGACAGATCTGGATCTGGGAATGAAATCCAGATCTGTCCTCTCCAGGATGCCTGAGTAACCATCCTGCTACGCTCTCAGAGTCCTGAGTTGACTTTGAGAGAAGCTTTTACCCATCATGTCTGCATTAGCAGGACTGCTCAGTTAGACCACGATGTTCCAGATTTATAGGCCCCCGGGATAAACTATGCAGCTTTTCTGTATTTATTACCCCATCTCTGCCTGTGTTCATGTCTCAGCCAGTACTCTCTTTCCCCACCCATGGAGGTCTCTGGGCCATGCTGACATGCCTGGCCTATAAACTCACTGGCTCTACATTCTCTAGCCCTTTCATTCGGTGTCATAAATTCTTTTTTTTTTTTTTTGAGATGGAGTTTTGCTCTTGTTGCCCAGGCTAGAGTGCAACGGCGTGATCTCGGCTCACCGCAACCCCTGCCTCCCGGGTTCAAATGATTCTCCTGCCTCAGTCTCCTGAGTAGCTGGGATTACAGGTATGCATCACCACGCCCAGTTAATTTTGTATTTTTAGTAGAGATGGGGTTTCTCCATGTTGGTCAAGTCTCGAACTCCCAACCTCAGATGATGCACCCACCTCGGCCTCCCAAAATGCTGGGATTACAGGCATGAGCCACCACGACTGGCCTGGTGTCCTAAACTCTTTAGGAGGCTGCAGGAGGGGGAGAGAAAGCAAGGTGGGCTGAAGGTTAAAGACTGGACACAGGGCTATCAAAAAATGTGATATGTAAGCTCTTTATGTGACCCTAGGACTTTTAAAACCCCAATTAGAGTGCCCTTGGTCATCCTGATATGGAGATTATGAACTTGGGCTTTGGCATCAGCTAGACCTGGGTTCTAATCATAGTTCTAAAGCCTTTTCCAAGTTACTTCCCTTCTCTACGTCTCAGTTCCCTCATCTGTACCATGAGTAGGAATAAGTCCATCCAAGTTTGTTTTTAGCATTCCCGGAGATCACACATCTGCAGGGTTCAGCACAGGAAATGTTCCAAACTTGTAGCGGCTATTTGTAGTACACCCTCATTGGCCGCCAGCCTAGTTCCTTCTCACTTTTTCCATGCTGGGCGAGGTGGTGCACTGCCCTTTCTGATAGGTCAAAAGCTGGACTGTCTCTGGAACTCTTTTTGATGTGGCTCCCCTTCCCATTTTATGAGCAGAAACGGGTGGAATGACCTTGAAAAGAAGCATGATTAAGCACTTTTAGCTAAGCACCCACTGTGTACAGAACACAAAATTAGGCATAGAGGAGCTGTGTTCTTACAGAGTAGAGCATCCAGTTGAAGAGCTAAGACCAATACTCCAAAAGGATGAGGCCATAAGAACACAGGACTATGCATAACTAAGTGCTATGTGGGCACAGAGGACAATTGCTCAAGCTGCTTAAAACTCTAAGCCAGTGGTTCATCCAGATCCCTGACAGAACGATCTCAGAGGCCTAGGAACCTGAGGAATCTCATAGCTGGTTATAAATGCACATTATCTGTAAGAGTCAGGATTGCATTGCTGGCACCCTGGGTGGGTACATGGGCAGTGGCAACGATTTGTGTGTGGGCTGCAGTTTCCATTCCCAGAGGGCAGAGCTCATGTTTGGGCTTGGAGGGTGTTTTCTACTCAATAAACAAAAAGTGGCTGCAACAGGACTGGGGCAAAACAGTGAGGGGAAAGAGCACGGAACTAGATGTCCAGAGACCTGGGTCTTAATTCCATCCTGAGCACTAACTCCTCGTACAACCTTGAGCAAGTCCTTTGCCCTTCTGTTTATAAAATGAGGTGGGTGGATCAGGAGTTCTCAAACTGTGCTTCATGCTACCCTGGGGTTCTAGAAATTCTGGAGCTCAAGGGCATCAGTGGGTCAAGAGGACAGGTGAGCGGTGGATCGGGACTCCAGGCTGCCTCTCTCTCTACTTTGTCTGCCTTCAACCAGAGCAGTCCTACCTATATCTTTTTACATATTAAGTTTCTTTTCTTGGAAAATCACCTAATTTATCTCCCTCCTCATCACTTCCACTTACACATAGGCCAAATGAGTCCCAGAGAGCTGAAGCAACTTGGTCAAAGTGACCCAGTGTGTGGCAGAGACTACACTAAAGTCTCCTTTGTGATAATGCTGACGATTATTTATTGTCCAGGGAAAAATGGCACTCCCCATCTCTTACAGATATGGAAGGAAATCATGATTCCTAAATTCTGAAGTGGGGCAAGGTAGGGGAGAGAGGAGGGGCTGAGCGCCTGCTCATGACGAAGCACACCTGAGCACCAGTTCTGACAGAGACCACCTGAAGTCTGGGCAGTGCTCAAAGGAGAAGCTGGCATGCAACTGGAGCCTTGAAACTCCACTCCCTGGTGACAAAGAAGGGGGCCCAAGCACTCCCTGTTGACAAAGAAGGGGGCCCAAGCCCAGGAAAAGAGCCCCATGAGTCCCTCTGAGGACTTTCTAGAGTGGCTGTCACTTTCACCACCATCAGCCTCTTAGTCACTCCTGAAAGTCAGTACACTATGTGATGAAGGTTCCTTTTCCCTTTTTTAAAAAAATTAATAGACTTTATTTTTTACAGAAAAATTGAGCAGAAAATACATAGAGCTCCCATATACCTCCCTCCTCTTTTGCATTGGTGTGGTACATTTGTTACCATGAGTGAGCCAATATTGACACATTATTTTTAACTAAAGTTCACAATTTACATTGTTTACACTGTCTTCCAAAGTGGCTGTACCATTTGGCATCGAGCAGAAAATAGAGTTCCTTGTCCTCTGAGTCAGGGTTCACTCTTTGTGCTGTACATTGTACAGGTTTTGACAAACACATAATGTCATGTGACCACCATTTCAGTATTTTACAGAATGGTTTCACTGCCCTAAAAACCTCCCATGCTCCACCTATCCGTTTCTCTCTTCTTCCTCTATTCCCAGGCTCCGGGAAACCACTGATCTTATAACTTACTCTATGGTTTTGCGTTTTCCAGAATGTCATCAAGTTGGAATCATACAGATTTCAGATTGGTTTCTTTCACTAAGCAATATGCATGTAAGTTTCCTCCCTGTATTTTCATTGTTTTGATAGCTCACTTCTTTTTATCGCTGAATAAGATTCCATTGTATGGATATACCACAGTTTGTATATTCATTCACAAATGGATGCTGAAGGTCACCTTTGTTACTTCTAAATTCTGGCAATGATGAATAAATCTGCTATGAACATTCATGTTTATAGCACATGTTTGTGTGGACATAAGTTTTCTACTCATTTAGGTAAATACCTAGGAGTGTGATTGCTGGATCATGCATTAAGACTATGTTTAACTTTGTAAGAAACTGCCAAACTGTCTTCTAAAGTAGTTGTACCATTTTGCATTCTCACTGTCATAGTGGGTTGGTTGGTTTGTCTTAAAACAGAGTCTTGCTCTGTTGCCTAGGCTGGAGTGCAGTGGTGTGATCTCAGCTCACTGCAAACTCTGCCTCCTGGGTTCAGCGATTCTTGTGCCTCAGCCTCCTGAGTAGCTGGGATTACAGATGTGCATCGCCACATCTGGCTAATTTTTGTATTTTCAGTAGAGACAGCATTTCACTATGTTTCCTAGGCTTGTCTTGAACTCCTGGCCTCAAGTGATCCACCTGCCTCAGTCTCCCAAAGTGCTGGGATTACCGGCATGAGCCACCATGCCAGGCCTGTTATAGTGTTTTCATTTGCTAAAAATGTCATTAAGTGGCCTTCTAAGTAAAGAAAAATTAAAACTAAATTATTACCATGAATTTTACTGTTTATACTGTGAAATACAAATATAAGAACATTAACTCAAGCCTGGGTGCTGTGCTATGATCCTAGCACTTTGGGGGCCAAGGCAGGAGAATTGCTTGAGTACAGGAATTCGAGACCAGCCTGGGCAACATAGCAAGACCCCATCTCTACCAAAACAAAACAAAACAACAAACAAACAAACAAAAACATTAGCCAGAGGTGGTGGTGGCATGCAGATATAGTCCTAGCTACTTGGGAGGCTAAGGCAGAAGGTTCACTTGAGCCCAGGAGTTCAAGGTTTCAGTGAGCTATGATTGCACCACTGCACTCCAGCCTGGACAATGTAGCAAGACCCTGTCTCTGAAACAAACAAACAAAAAAGAATCACTGAAATTACACAATTTGTATTTTGTAGCTCATACATGCATAGGTATTTCATTCTTGCCAGAAAAGTAGAAACACTGAACAGACTTAAGTGTTTTTGATAAATGTGCATTCTACCAGCATTCTCTACTTTCCATTTACTTTTTCTGTTTCTTAAAATTCCATATTTTATTTCAAATTCTACCCTCAATTTAATGAGAAGTAAGGAAGGACTCAGAGGACAAGAAACTATACATTGCCCTGTGTTTTTCTTTCCTTCCATATCATCAGTTTCGCAAAAGTAGTTGGCTGACACAGGGAAGTAACAGGACTAAGGAAGCTTCCTCGGTTGTTCTGTTTCTTAAGATCACCATTGCCTTCTTTCTGCATCTGAAATAAGCTCTTATTTGAATGGAAAGCACAGCCTTGCAGCGCGATCAGCACCCACTTACTCAGTCATAGTCACGTTAATAGGGAACAGGAGTAGGGAATCTCTCTGTTCAGTGAGACTCAAAGCCATCAGCTTCCAGACCATGCTTATCCTATACCTGCTTGAGTCTCTCTGAGCCACCATGCGTGGTATGTCCACTGGAATTGGGTGTTCACAGGGCATCCCAAGTGCTCTATCTGAATGGGGCGGCAAGGAATGGAGGACACACACATCGCAAATGCCTCCTCTGCTCATGAACATGCCCCATTGTTCTACCAGTCTTCACTCACAAAACATTTATCAAAGATAAATGTATTACAGATTTCAAGATGGCCAGCGGAACATGCACTGGGCCCTTCTGAACGCAGGCCCCATTCGACAGCACAGGTTGTAAAGATGTGAAGCTGGCCCTAAGTTTCCTTAAACTTTATCTGTTCTGCTCCACTGCAGGTCACAGCTCTCTCTTGACATAGGACGAGAGAACTTCTTCCTGTCATCTGCCTAATGGTCAAACCAGGACCCTGAACATGATCCTAAGTCCTCACTCTCTCTCAAAGTCCACATTCAATCACCAACTCCTACCAATTCCCCTGCAGAAGCACCCCTTTAATTTTCCCACTTTCCACTTCACCACTGCCACCTGGTTCTGCCTGCAACGGCTGCAAAGGCTGCATGATGGATTTCCCTGCCTCCTGTTTCTCTCCTCTAATGGAATCCCCAGACAACAGCCAGAGTGAGCTTCCTAAAAAGAAAATCTAATCAGGTTACTTTCCTGCATAAAATGTTTCAATGCCCCCAAAGTCCTCGAGATCAAGCCTTATTCTGCATGGCTTACAGGATTCCTTCTGGTCTGGCCTGACTTTCCAACAA